GCACCGACGACTTCTGTAACACAACAACATACAATTACATACTCATCTCGAACATTCAAACAAATAATTCTTATTATGAGATTCAAAACACGAAATATTAGGAATCTACGAACACGCCTAACTATCGCACAACTGTTTAATCTTGATTGATCAGTTGTGCGATAGTTAGGCGTGTTCCTGTGATTATCAGCTTATATAGCACACTGATCTATTTTAGTTGGGCAACTAAACAGTTGAATGGGCTGCAAAACAATCGATAATCGTAAAACTGTTTTGCGATAGTTTAGTCAAAAGTGTGAGACAGCTCTAAGAACTAGTCTGAGTCAGCTCGTATTTTAAAAACAATATAATATAGACTATTTGAGGATAATTTAGGGTCTGAAAAACATCCCTGAGTCAGTAGCTAACGATTATGAATAAGCAGGACATTCGTATTGCGTACTCTGAAGATCAATTTGGCTTACAGAGCTGTTATCAATATACGCATTTTAAAGCTGGAAATATTCCAAGATATCACAAATGTATAGAAATACGTAAACGAAATTCCCGCAACGTATTGAAGATCGACTTGTAACCTTGCCCGTGTGGTGTATAGAATTGTAATCGAAATACAAGTAGGAAATGTCGCCAATCACATTAAGAATACGAAGGGAATCACATGTCCTATTTGCAAATATAGTTTGTATGTTGTTTGCATTTGCATACTATCATGTTGGCTGGTTTTTATTACTAACACATTACAATTATAAAGTCAAAGTAATTGGAAACATAACACCGCGACATAGTTATACATCTCAAGATAATTAATAGAAAAACAAATAGACTAACCGAAAAGCAAAATATAACAGACAAAAGACTTAAATTAATGAACTCTGAAACGCAAGTCATAATTTTTAATAGTAAAATCCTTCTAATTTATCCCATTTACGCCGGTTATGTAGTTGACACTCTTCACATTCTTTATGAAAAAAAGACCACACTAAGTTTTATAAAACTCTAAAAGGCTATAACAACGCGACATGTTGTTAAAACGTTTGTATACTTGTAGTAAATTATAATTGTTTTAAATGGCGACACTGTTATCTTACGTAGAATTACCAGACCTCGCGCATTTGTTTCCGACTGGTTTTTATACAAGTTTTCCTTCACCATTGTTTACAATATCTTGTAGTTTATTCTTGTAATTTAAACGCAGCTTGCTGCATAAATGCAATATAATAGATGTAAGGTTAAAACTTTACACGGTAGCCTAGTATCGAAGAAGTTCTTTGTTGCCTTTGTAGTGTAGAATTGCATCTCATGGTTCTTAAATATGACTGTTCTACGAGTTTTATAATAATCTATGGGTCAATTACCTTCATTTGTCAAAAATGTTTGACATAAAGTTTTGAAGTAAATATTATTTTTTATAAGTGAAATTTAATTAGCTAACGTATCACATATTCCTGACTATATTGAGATTTTCTGGGTCAGTTCTTTGAATAACAATAGTATTTTCACAATATTTTACGTAAAATATTATTTGGGTCGAAATAAAACTTAATTGTGTTCGTGACCACAACGTATTGTAACGTAATACGATACGTTACATTTACCATATTGCAAAATTAAGCAAATGTTTGTAGTCTTTTTCGCAGAAAGTAACAGATTACAATGTAAGCATCATTTGAGTAGCTAACAAATTATCGAGGTTAAGTATGAAAATGACAAATTTCATTTTTATTACAATCTTTATGATGTCAGAAAAAGGGCCGTTTGACCTAAAAATGTACAAGCACCCAGGAAAAATGAAGAAAAAAGTACACTCATAGAGTTTTTACAAAAATACTGACTAGAAGCGCTGGTTTCTAAGCGACATTAACGAATAAAAATAAACATACCGTTTATACAGTATACCGTAAACCTTATAGTCGGTCCGATATTCGACTGAAACCTTTCGGATGTTTTAACTGAATACACTCGGGAATCAAAAAAGTTAAAAAAAAAGAAATAAACGAAAATAAACTTCAATGATTGAGTTGTTTTTAAATTTTATCATTATAACTAATTTTCGTTTTAAATCATTCAAACCGACACGGCAACGGATATGAAATAATTTGATAAGATAAACTGATATGGCTTGCACTATCTTGATAAATAATGTAAAAAAATAAATTCGAATACTGACTCAAATTCATGATATTAGGAGCGTGCGCATATCTTTCACTATACTATTGCAGAACTTTTTAATATCGCTTTAATTCCTATGAGCTTTTATGAAGGTGCGCACACTACTCGATTTTTAGCTGTGCAACCAAACGATTGAATTGGCTGTGAAACAATCGATAATTGCACAATCGTTGTGCGATTGTTTAGTCAAAGGTGTGCGCCCGCTTTTAACGTAGTGTAATGTTACTGATCCTTCAATCATATATCTACAAATAATCGCAGTGAAGGGTCTTAAGAGTAACGCTATCTGGCCTTTCCTTTGAATGGCTTCCCTCAACTGAAGTTACTAGTGTTTTGTAAGGAAGCCATTTTAGACGTATTACGTATAAGGGAATGTGAAGAGGAAATGTTCTACGAATCATACTGTATTGATTTCTAAAACTAGCTTTGTGTTATTTCAATAAATTTAGCTAAATCTCGACAGTAATGCAATCATAGACAATTATTTATTACAAAAGCGGATTTGAACAAAGTTACTTATTACAATAGGTCTGAAGGTCTGTTCCACGAAATACTTTAATATTCATTATAAATGTATGACTAAATAACTTATGTATAATTCGTAAGTCATTGAAATAAATGATACATTCATATTCGACTCACACATAGACTTAAAACTATAAAAATTTGAATAGACGTTTTTTGATGTGAATTTTAATACCCACGCTATTCATAGTTATCTTTCTATCCAAATTAACTATATTTATAATACTAACAACAATATAATTGGCCTATCATATACCGCCATATGGATATATGTATCATTAGATAATAGCGCAGGGAGATATTTTTTAATTATTGCAAACGCAATTCGAAATGACACGTGTAAGTGGATGAGATAGTTTACACAGTCTATTTTTATCATAACCCTATTAAGAGCTGGAAAAAAATTAAATAAGCATAATCAGTTTATTTAATGCGTTTTAAAGAGTTCACCACATGAGGGAGACATGGATTTAATTTTTATGGGATGCTTGCCACTGGGGGACGTTGATGAGGACCATTGTTGGTTGAGTGCTTTGGGAGTGTGAGATCAGGGTTAGATTTCCTCTCTAATATGAGGATTATGTGCGGTCTATTGTATCGTAAAGAGTTATAGATTAACACTTCAATCTCTAACTCTTGTACGTTATATCTAATAAGCTCATTGGGGTCTCCTTTCCCTTCCTTTATTTTATCTGTTTTTTTTTCACTCTAGTAATGTGGCATGTCATTTGTGTAAATGATGATGGTAAAATTAAGAAAAAATATTTTTACGTTTTCCTGTTTTAGGTAACCAAATCTAAATTTCATACTTGGAAATCGTGCCTAACTGTCTTAGGACATTTAGCTGACGTCATTTCTATTAAACAATTGCAACAGGTAAGTTATTGTGAAAGGTACCAACTTAGGTATATCTTCAAAATCTTAAACACAATTGGTAAAATTCGAACCTGAAAGTCAGAATAGAATGAACTAATAGCCTTTCATCTTAAAAGTTATAATAATAGGTTGTTGATCGAGCATTGTTAATTCAACATCATAGGTGCGTATTCATATTAAAATATAAAAGGCACATAGAACTGCAATACCATTAGAAGAGGCGGCCATGTGCCAGTTAAAACAATCGGCTATGTGCTGAGGCACATGCGGTGAATCAACGTGTGCTCAACAATCGCTTATAAATTAGCAAGTTTAATTAACGGTTCGAACCATTTTAAGGTCAGCATTCTGCGCCTGCGCACGGTCCAGGGGTTCGTGCGGCGACGAGCCTTGGTTGCCCATCCTTCAACAGCTCGCAGAACTTGATTTGTAACTATGACGTCACTCAAAGTGACCACTCAAGCAATAGAGTGAGACATCACAACACATCACAGAAATCGTCGAACTCAACGGTCACTTCACAGATTATTCATCACACAACTAACGCAACGCCTACAGCCGTGTCCTCTTGCGACAAAAACACTCTATCCTTAGCACAATAAGATAATAATTTCGACGAAGATTAAACTCCACAAACATGGCAAAGCTTAAAATAAACAATACAGTTCCTCTTGCTGGCGCCACTACCTTGAAAACTTGCGCATAATACAAAAAAACTCACACTTTTTATCTTTTATCTATTTGATTACATCTGAAGTTGCCTGTCTCGTGTTTTGCTCACGTGAAAAAGAAACGGTTGCGATAAAATAGAAGGAGTGATAGGTACGTATTACGAATTAATCTCACGCGCAAAACTTTCGAAGATCGTCCAAGATGCGGTAGTAGCACATAAGGTTCGTGTGAATTCGTTAACAATAATTTTTTAAAAGGGGGGTCAACTTTTCCCACAAACGATGAATAAACGCGGAGAGGCGCATTGAACCCGGCACCCGGCGCGCGCGGGGAGGGAGCTCGGGCTCGGGTAGGTAGCTGGGAACGACCGCCGATGCCAGCTGAACGTTATTTTTTCCCACAGCATTGTTCTTTGGACCGTAGCGAGTAACGATCACAGAACTATATACTTTTTGGTAATTAACGCGACATTTATTTTAAAACACTAACTGCACTGAACTGCATTTCGGGTGAATGTAAAACTGCAGAAATATTTAAGAAACTAATGTATAAGGCGCGCGCGCCGCGCTCGTGGCGAGCCTCGCTGTCGTACTAACCGCGACGTGCGAGGACCGCGCGAACCCGGGTGCGGAGCGTAGTGCGCCCCGCACCTCACCCTGAGCCCCGCAACGACCGGTCCCTTGCATTGTCAAGATTGACGACCGGTGAGATCATCATACGAGTTACGAAGCTTTTAATTTGATTCCGATGCTAAATCGTCTATAATACAAA